AGCCCCCCGAAGCTGCGGGGAGCTCTGCCCACCCCCGGCGTGGCGGCGCTGTCCGCGGGTGCTTACGGAGCCTCTCACCTCCCCCCTGCCAGGGCATTTGCAACAACCACGGGAGGTGCGAGTGCGGCAGATGCGTCTGTGACAAGGCTTCGCTGTACACCAGCTCCACCTGCGAGATCAGCTACTCCCTGGTGAGGCTCAGCCTGAGGTCCCCCCGCAGTCATCACTTCTCCTTCCCATGCAGAGCCGCTGAGGAGGGAAAGCGAAGCGGAGGTGAAGGCACACCTCTGCCAGGAGCAAAATCCTGAGCTGGGGGTGGACTCACCCGTCCTGCCTTTGGCAGCCAGAAAGGGTCTGCTACCGGCTGGTTTTGCGACTGGCTGCTTTGCAGCCGTGGGCTCTCTTTGACCTCAAGTTCACCAGCAGAATATCTATCTGCATTTTTCTGCACGTTGGTGAAGGACAGAGATTTGAGGCTCAGCTCCTGGCTTGTTCTGATTTGCCTCAAGACTAGAAAAAAAAAATCTCAGTCTGATGCCTCAGTTTCCCCACAAACAAACATGGTTAATTCCACAGTGGGAGCAGAGAGAGCTGGCTTGGTCATATTTCAGAAAGGCCACCTAAAACCCTTGGAGAAGATCTAATCACTGCCCAAATGCAGGCTGTTGGTCTGAGATTTTGGATCCAGCTGAGCTCCTGGGTTTATAAGTCCTTCATTAGCTGCTGTTCCCTGTGATTCCTTTTCCTGACCTTGCCCTGGTGCTGGGCAGAGGACACCGTGCTGCCTCTCCAGCTCTGCCTTTGGAGATGATGTCCTCCTCGCTCGCCCCGGGCTGTCTCCTGACCATCCCACCTTGCCTCCCTGCCCAGGGCTTCCAGGCCGTGTGCGAGAGCATCCGGGACTGCGTTCGCTGCCAGGCCTGGGGAACGGGCAGCACGAAGGGGAACTGCAGCGCGTGCCACCTCCAGATCCAGATGGTGGAAGAGCTGAAGAAAGGTACCGGGACAAGCGGAGCTGGGGGCGGAGACGCATAGTCTGTAAAGCCTGATGACTTTGCAACCGTGTCCCTCTCCCTGCAGAGGAGGCCAGTGAGTACTGCTCCTTCCAGGATGAGGATGATGACTGCACATACCACTACACCCTGGAGGGAGACCCCACTGTCCTCCCCAACACCACTGTCAACGTGCAGAAGAAAAGAGGTGAGCAGGGACCTGGCAGGGTGGGATGTCCAGCCCACGGTGTGGATCAACAGCCCATCTGCTCCCCACTTTGTCCCTTTGCTGTGCCCCTGGGCAGGGTTAGCTGTGGGTACATCCTTGGCCACCTTCCTGCATGACGGGGTGGGTGACATTGGTTGTCACATGAACTGCAAGGAGTGGAGTGTAGTACCCTCAGGGCCCAGCACCTTCAGAGGTCAGGCCTTCACTGCTGGCACGGGCAGAGAATGACACGAGGTGCTAAATAGCCCCTTGGGGTGGCTGGATGTGAGCAGAGAGGTGCGATAATTCTCCCTGAACAGCTCTTTTCATTGTGAGCACAAAGAGGAAAGTTCCCAAGCTTAACTGGGCTGCTCTGTCCCTCTCAGAGCTGTGGTCCAGCCTTTCCCCTCTGCCCCTGTGCCCCCAGTCCCTCCCAGCACACCCCATGCAGGAGCTGATGTCCAGCAGTGACGTTGCTGTCACTTGCAGAGTGCCCACCGGGGAGCTTCCTCTGGCTCATCCCGCTGCTCATCTTCCTCATCCTGCTCCTGGGGCTGCTGCTGCTGCTCTGCTGGAAGTTCTGCGCCTGCTGCAAGGTGAGTGCCTCAGCTGGCTGCCCCAGCCCAGAGGAGGACCAGACAAAGGCCAAGAACATGACCAATTCCCAGAATCCACCCAGCCTCCAGTATGCCCAGATTGGCAAGGGCTGGGTCTCAGTGGTATCCAGCACCTCTGCTGTTACTGACCAAAGTCGTGGTGGGATTTCCCCTACTGAAGAGATATTTGGCTAAAATCAGCTTCCAGAGCCCCACCCATCCTCTGCTCACCCACCCCTGCTGATGCAAATCCCCCCAGCTGCAGACATGGAGGGGTTTGCCCTGGCTGCAAAGTGATGGAGTCTTTGGCCGTTTGTTTTCTAGGCTTGCCTGGCCCTGCTTCCCTGCTGTGCACGAGGTACGGCCCGTGGGACGTGGGGGAGAGGGATTGGGGGAGTTTGCTGCCTTCCCATGTTGTGGGGGGTGCTGGGGTAAATGTCTGGCTGCTTCCTCCTCCTCCTCTCTGAGCTGGGGAGGTAGATCAAGGTAAAGCTCCTAGCAGAGAGCCTGAGCCAAGGAGCCCTGGAGTTGCTGCTCCATTGCTTCTCCTGGTGTGCCCTACTGGGAGTCCTGCTGCTGGCTCTTCCCCGACCACGGTCCCTTGTAATGTTTGGCTGGTGTGATGTGCTCTCCCCAGACACGGGCATGCCTCGCCCTCTCTACCCCACTCCACTCCTGACACCCTACCACCCTTTGCATGGTGGTAGCCCTGAAGATTCCCCAGAACAGCCTCCAGTGTTGGAAAGCTGATGGCTCGTGTTGTCCCAGTCTGCCCACGCTCTGACCCTGCCTCTGTCTCTGCAGGTCGCACTGTTGGCTTCAAGGAGGACCACTACATGCTTCGCCACAGCCTCATGTCCTCCGACCACCTGGACACTCCCATGATCCGCAGTGGGTCCCTCAAGGGTCGGGACACAGTTCGCTGGAAGATCAACAACAATGTTCACAAGCAGGACTTCACCTCCCTCGCTGCTTCCAACCCCAAAGATCTCGGTGAGTGCCATGTCTGAGGAACAGGGTGTAGAGGAGATACTGCAGGTGCCATAAAGGACACGAACCCTTGATGGTGGCCACCAGCTCCAGCAGCCATCGTGATACCTCTAAGCCAAATTGCAAGGGGGGTTGTTTTTTTGTCTGCTTCCATCCTTGGAGAAGCTGACCAGCACATTCCTGTGTCCAGCCCTGAAGCAGGACAGATGGTAGCCTTGGGGACCTCCTGACAGCCTGGCTTCATGGTAGATGTGCCCTGCATGTGTCACAGTGTCCTTCACTCAGTGACCCAGCCTTCTTCACTGCCACATCAGTCCAGAGCCAACACTGGACACTGGTTCCTTTTCTGGGTCTGGTCAAGAGCTTCCCAGTTAGCCCTCCAGTTCTTGCAAGGTTTTTTCTGCTGGTGCTATAGAGTTTGGTTGCTGGTGGTACAGGATCTGGACATCGAGTATCATACGTGTCCGCGTGCTTCCAGCTTTTGGCTGTGTTACTTCTCTGACCAGGAAGGAGGGAGTGTGACTGGGGAATTTCTCTTTCCAGTTCCCTACGGGCTGTCCCTGCGGCTGACCCGGCTGTTCACGCAGAACCTGGTGAAGCCGGAGACCCGGGAGTGCGAGCAGCTGCGCAAGGAAGTGGAGGAGAACGTACGAGCCCGGGCACGGGGGGGCTTGGGGTGGCACTGGGGGTCAGCCACGCTGAGGGGGTGTCTGCGATGCTGGGGAAGGGAGAGAGCCCCTTCCCTGGGAACCCAGACAGCTCTTGAAAGGAACAGGCCGTTTGTCCTTTTTCTGGCAGAAAGCACAGGTTTTAAGGTCGCAGTTGTGAGAATTATTGAAGTGTCACAGTGATGAGATTTGAGGTTTAGTTTGGGGCATGTGGCTTGAAGCTCCTGTTTGGCTTCAGTTCACAGTCTCTTGCCATGTCCTGGGGCCAAAACATGTGGAGGTCTCTGCCTGGTGTGACAGGGTGAGGGGGGAGGACCTGGGGGTCTTCAGAGGGCTCTGGTGTTTGCTGCTTGCTGAACATGTCCCTGTTCAGCAAAAGGTGTGTCATGGAAGTCCCTCTTCCTCCTTGCAGCTGAACGACGTTTTCAAGCACATCCCTGGCTGCCACAAGCTCCAGCAGACCAAGTTCAGGTGAGTCTGTGGGGGAGAGACCTCCTGCAGAGCAGGGTTCCTCAGGGCCCTGCTGATGAGGGAGGGGAGCAGGGGGCTGGGGTGTAAATTCTGGATGCCAGGAGGGACTGTGGTCTGTGAGACACTGAGCACAAGACCAGTGAGGGTCTTCACCCACCCAGAGCCATAGAGCAGAGCCCACCCAGCTCTGCAGGTGATCTCAGCTGCATCTGGCTTTTCCCATGGTGCTCAATGGGAGAATTCCCACTGACTTCAAAAGTTTCAGCCCTGTGCAAAGTTAGGAGTGCCGGGTGCAGGGTGGAAGAGTCTGGGGATGCTGCCACTCAGCAGGGAGTGCTGCTCCCTCTCCACACCTCTGACTAGATGTTATCTCCCCTGTGGGCATGTTCTTCATTGTATTGGGAAAGCCAGGGCTGGAGGGAGCGGCCAGGCAGGAGGGAACATGTGATGGGGCCACGGGCTCTGCAGGAGGATGGGTGGCACCCGCAGGGCAGCTGCTGCAGCTCAGACCTGCACAGCACCATGATTCATGCAGAACTGTGTCTCCTCAAGTGCATTACTCACTGATTTTTTTTTTTTTTTTTTCACCCTCAGGTTACAGCCCAATTCTGGGAAAAGGTAGGAGGAACTCACAGCCCTCCCTTGTGCTGTGTCTCCGTACGCACGCGTGTGGGGTGGCTGGATGCCCCCCACGCTCACTAGCCCTTCCAGCTGCTGTGTATGATGAGCCAGCCTGGCCTCAGCTCTTACCCAGCTTTCTCTTCCCCCCGGTCACAGGCAGGACCACACAATTGTGGACACAGTGCTCACTGCCCCTCGCTCAGCCAAGTCAGAGATCATCAAAGTGGTGGAAAAGCACGTTTCCCACGAGGCTTTCAATGACCTGAAGGTTTCACCGGGTTATTACACGGTGACCTCAGACCAAGGTAGGGAGCAGAGCCAAGTGCTGCCTCCTGGTTGGGCAGGGCAGGCACCATGGCCACATCTCATCACGGCCCCTTCCCCAGATGCTCACGGGATGGTGGAGTTCCAAGAGGCTGTGGAGCTGGTCGATGTCCGTGTCCCACTCTTCATCAGGGACGATGATGATGATGAGAAGCAGCTGCAGGTGGAGGCCATTGATGTCCCCACTGGCATCGCAGAGATTGGACGCAAGCTTGTCAACATCACCATCATCAAAGAACAAGGTGAAGGGCTGTAACAGTGGCATGAGATGGAAGGTGTTTGTTTGACTGTCCCATGTCCAGATGGACTCACGTGGTTCCTAAGGAAGGTGCAGCCTGTGTATCTGAGCTCTCCCAGATCACAGACTAGAGACTTGCTTGGTAACTCCTATCTTAAGACACCTGGGTCTAAACTAGAGCATCTTTTAAAGTATCCAAATCAAGGTGGTCATCCCTGGTGACAGAGACCCAAACATTTGACCAGCCCAAGTTTACATGCTACCAACTCCACAGCAGATCAAGAGTTGGCCATATGCCTCTGCTGCTCTAGTTAGCTCAAGTAAAACCTCTTTGATGTAATGCTGTGCTGGTGGCAGGGCAATGTCCCCAGCAGTTGGCTTCTAATCCCCACCTGGTGGTTCTGAGCAGGGAGCACGAGTCAGCAGTGGCAAAGTCTCCAGCCCAGGCAGTAATATTTCTCCCACGGTTCACACCCATGGGTGATAAGGAGCCTTGTTCAAGGAAGACATCTGTGTCTTTGCAATGTGATTCTTCATGTGTTTGCTCTACACATTCCTTCTGTCCTGCCCCTTCCAGCCAGCAGCCTCATCACCTTCTTGCAGCCAGCCTATTCCCACAGCCGCTTTGATAAGCTGGCCAAGATCCCTGTCCTGCGGGAGATCATAGACAACGGGAAATCCCAAGTCACCTACAGGACCCGGGACCTGACCGCCAAGAACGGCAGGGTAAGGGTGATGCTCCTGACCCTGGCAGGAATGAGTGGGCACAGAGGGCTGGGAAGGAGCCGACCCCGGGGCTGCAGGAGAGCACTGGTCAGGCTCAAAGGGGTGTGACTGGGAGAGGGGAGACCCAAGGCTTGGTGTTAAAACGTGGCAGACATCCCCTCCATCGCTTGCTCCCTGTGCCTCAGGGAGCTGAGAGGCTGCCTGTGGCTGTGGCAGAGTGTGCCAGCTGCCCCTGCACTGTGGGCACTGGGAGGCAAATGGGGATTCACTGGGGCCTGAGGGGAAGCTCTCCGGGAGCCTTCTCCTGGGTGCTGTGGGCTATAATCACGTACTTCTTCCTCCTCCTCCAGGACTACATCTTCACAGAGGGTGACCTGGTCTTCCAGCCTGGGGAGACCCGGAAGGAGGTGCAGGTCCCCTTGCTGGAGCTGACTGAAATAGATACCCTCCTACACAACTGCCAGCTCAAGCAGTTTGCCATCGACCTCCTGCACCCCAAGTACGGCGCCCAGATTGGCCGGTACCCCCAGACCACGGTGACCATTGCCGACCCAGGTAGGAGCTGACAGCCAGGTCCTAGGGTGGTCCAGCAGTGGAGTGGTGGGACTTCCACAGTGGACCAGCGCACCTCGAGGTCCAGTACAGAGCTCCAGCCCTGCTCCTCACCCGAAAAGGGGCAGGGAGGAGACTCCTCCAGCTCCGAATAGTAGATTTGGGTCTCCCTCTAGAGGCATTGGTGGGCATAGACAGTGGCCGGGAAGAAGACGGATGCTCGTAGATTTGGGTCTCCCTCTAGAGGCATTGGTGGGCATAGACAGTGGCCGGGAAGAAGACGGATGCTCGTAAAGGGAAACAGAGAGGATTCTTCATTCCTTGTCCTTGGGGATTTGTGGATATCCCTTTCCTGGAAGTGTTCAAGGCCAGGCTGGATGGGCTTTAGGCATTTAGTGGCGGGTGTCCTTGCCCATGGCACAGTGGCTGCAACTAGATTTAGGTTCCCTTCCAGCCCAAACCATTCTATGATTTTATTACTTGCCATGAGCTGCACTTGGTGGTTTCTGTGGCTGGAGAGGCAAAACCGTAAGAGTTGTCATCAAGTGGGTTGGTAACATAAAGGTATTTATTACAGTACTGGTCATGACCACTGGGGATACAATAAAGTCCCTTGTCACTGGACCAATCAGAATCATTTCAGGCACAGGCACTGGCATCGGAGAGTCTCCACAGAGCTCTTGGCTGGACTTTGGGGGCTTGGCCCCCCAGAAATGCCTTGAGAGGCTCACTCAGGATGGTGGGGCAGTGCTGGGCAGAGGCAATCTTCCTTCTTTCCCTTCCACGTGGGGGACTAGCACTGATGTGACCTTTCTTCCTCATGTCTGCAGAGGTGGTGGATGGTGTCCCCTCGATGACCGGCATGAGCCAGGTCTCCCAGTCCCCCAAAGGCCGCCTGAGTGCACCACTCAATCCCAATGCCCGCGCTCTCAGCTCCAGAGAAATCCACTTCAGCTGGTTTCCTCCACCTGGAAAACCTCTGGGGTACAAGGTGAGTGGGGTACAAGTAGGGTGAGTGGATCCCAGGGTGGGGTGTGGGTCCCATCCTGCAGATGTTTCACATGCAGTCATCTATGCTGAAGGAATGGGGAGAAGATGCCCAAAGAAGGGAGCAAGCTCACCCCTTCTGGCCCGCTCCATCCTTGAGAGACCATTGCTGGGTGGATATGGGATTTGCAGGAAAGATTCCTGGTGGGTTCATCTCTCTTTCCATCACTTAACAGGAACCACCCAGACTGTTCTGGCCTCCCGTTTCAGAGGAATGGCCCAACACCCTGGCTTTCCCAGAGCAGATCAAATAAGAGACGGGGCATTTCTCACCCATTTTGGTGAGCATCTGAAGGAATTGTGACTTGCTTTTGCTTTGCCAGGTAAAATATTGGATCCAAGGGAACCCCGAGTCAGAAGCCCATCTCATTGATGTCAAAACACCATCAGCAGAGCTGAGTAACCTCTACCCCTACTGTGACTACGAGATGCAAGTCTGTGCCTACAACACCATGGGTGAAGGAGCGTACTCCGACATTATCCACTGCCGCACGCTTGAGGATGGTGAGCAACTCTGCACTTTGCCTCCCACCGTCCCGGAGCAAGTTGGTGCCTGTGCACCTGGTATGGGGTGAGGGCTCCAGCCCTGAACTCCTGATGGTCTTGAGAACCAGCACCAAGCAGCTCCCACTGTGACCCAGCTGTGATCTGGGGAGCTCTGGGCATCGACGGGTGTTATCTCCTGACTCACAGTAACCTGCCCCCTTTGCTCCTGCCTGTCTAGTCCCCAGCGAGCCCGGGCGCTTGGCTTTCAACGTCGTGTCTTCCACGGTGACACAGCTGAGCTGGGCCGAGCCTGCAGAAACCAACGGGGAGATCACAGCTTATGAAGTCAGTTATGGACTCGTCAACGAGGATAACGGTGAGAGCTCACTCTGACTGGAGCAGTCCAGCCAGGCTGAGGTCCCAAGCAGCAGCAGAACCAGAATGGTTCCAAGATCGTTTCTTGTGAAAATTGGGATATGGAAAGGTCACTTCTTGATGGAAGGAGTACAGAAAAATCACCACTGAGGATTTAATTCTGCAAAGCCCAGAGCACTTTCAGTTCCTATTCACTTCCACAGAGTTTTGTGTTGGTTTTCATCATAAAAACTTCATTCATGGGTCTGAACCTAGGGCTGGGTGCCAGAAAGATGCTGTTTGGTGACACACCAGCAACACAAGACCTATGCTGTGGCTTGGCTTCAGCATTCAGTTTGGGAATTTCCCAGAGATGATGTCACGTTTGTCGTGAGCAGCCCAAATAGCTGCTGCACATTGTCCCAGAGCCAGGCTGTGCCCTGACACGGCTGGGATGCTGTGTGGTCTTCTGTGTCTCCTGACCTCATGGGTGATAGGCATACCTTTCTTTGTAGTGCCTATTGGCCCAATGAAGAAGGTGCTGGTTGAAGACCCAAAGAAGCGCATGGTGCTGATAGAAAACCTGAGGGAATCCCAACCCTATCGCTACATGGTGAAGGCCAGAAATAGTGCTGGCTGGGGACCTGAGCGAGAAGCCACCATCAACCTTGCTACACAACCCAAGCGCCCGATGTCCAGTGAGTTACTGCCCTGCCTGGGTGGGGAGCACAGGGACCAGTAGCAGTGCTGGGGAGTGCTCCCCATCACCCCAGCTGCCTCCACATCCTGCTCGCTCTGCTGCACCAGCCACGCTGGGGAATGCTGCACGCCAGTCTGAGCATGGGAGGCCTGTCTGGTTTTAAGCCGCTTGTCTAATGGCACTTTCCACCTCTCCCCCAGTCCCCATCATCCCTGACGTCCCCATCATTGATGCAGAGGGAGGCGAGGACTACGACAGCTACCTGATGTACAGTGCAGATGTGCTTCGCTCTCCAGCCGGCAGCAAGCGCCCCAGTGTCTCCGATGATTCGGGTACGTTGCTCTGAGTTTTGCAAAGGTCATTTTTAACGTTCGTTTTCCTTAACAGCAGCTTTCAGCAATGAGCTTTCACTCCTCCTCTCCTCCTCACGGAGATGGGGAGAACCAAGTCATGGAGATGGTGGAGCTCAGCCTTTCTGAAGCACAGTAGCTGCATGCATGGGAACACTTGACTAGTCACAGTGTAAACAAGACCAGCGTCTCCTTGTCCCAGCCATGAGGCAAAGAGAAATCTCAGCGTGGAGTGAGAGAGGAGCTTTTCATGGCCCTTCCTGCTCATCTTCCCTTCCTGTTGCCATTTGGCCGATCCGTAAGAGTTACTGTCAGCCAACAAGCACTGGCAAGCCACAGGCCTCTGAGTCCCTTGGATGCTCAGGGACTCAAGCCTGTTGGCCAAGCCAACAGGAAGGATTCACCAAGAGCTGGGAAGGCACTGGCTTCTCTTCCTCCATCCCCTCACTCTCTGAATGAGGCTGGCTCCCTTGTCCTGTACTGGGACCGCAAGGGGAAGATGGGCCATGAGTGAAATGATGAGGCTTGTCAGTAGGATCTGGAGGGTCTTCCCTGGGGTCATTCTCCAGGGCCTGGGATCCAGGAGCAAGTCCTTGGTCCTTTCAGAGAGCAAGGTAATGGGAACACCGAGAGACCAACCATCCCGTGTACACATCAAGGAGTGAGGAAAACTCTCCTGAACAGTGGACAATTGTCGCAGATTCTTCGTGACAGGAACAGGCATGTGGTGGGACTTTGACTCTCACCTTTTGTCATGATGGACACAGGGCTGGAAAACAGCCCTGGGGCTGAGGAACCCCACGCATGTCACATGCCCACCATCCTCAATCTACCAGTCACACGATGGTTGCACCGCCTGAACTCATCAGCCAACACTTGGCGAGACGGGCTGTGAACGAGAGTCATTCCCACCGGTGCCTGCCCCTTTCCCTCCCCAGCAAGCAGCACGAAGGTGTTGGTGGGTAGCCTGCTCTGTCCCCTGTAGATCATGCCGACACCAGTGCTTGCGTTGTCCCAAAAGGCTCCAGGTGGAAACATGTGCAGTTGCTGGGAGAAGACTTGGATCTCCGCCGCATCACCTGGAGGCTTCCACCTGAAACCATTCCCCGCCTCTCTGGCAGCAGCCGCTTCTCCTCGGACACCGAGGGTCTCCTCCACGAGGAGGACGGCGACGTGGCTACTGGCAGCCTGAGGAGGAGCGGGACGCCCCGGCCCCAAGCAGGTGAAGGATGGCTCCGTTCCGCACCGAGTGTCCTGTCTCCTCCTGCTCTGAGCCCCAGGGGCCGGCGGCTGGGTCTGCCCCAGCACTTGTCCCCTCCCTCCCCTTGTGTGCCCATCCTCCTCGTGGCGTGATGCACCGTTCATGTGCTGTAGTCTGCTTCAAAACCTTGTCCTCGTGTGTCTGCCCACAAGAGTGTCAAGGTAACCCCCATCTCGGCATGGACTTGGGAGCCTGCTAGCAAGTTGCTTCTACAAAAGGCTGGACCTTCAAGGCAGAAGCAAAGTCAGATGATACCGGCAAAGTGTCACCTCCAAGGGTGGTTCCTCACCTTAGTTAAGTGTTCTGAGCTTCTGGAGCAGATCTGCTGGACTGTTAAACAGAAACTGTTCTCTCATGGGTAGCTGATCTCTCATGGCCTGCTGGGGAGGGATGGGGGTTTGTCAAGGACCAGAACAATGGAGCAGAGTTTGCTTTTCAGATTCAGCTGAGATGGGATCCAGAGTGAGATTTGGAGAAACCACCTCCATAAAGGGCTATTTTTCATCTTCCACCTTCTTTTTTTAATCTCAAATTATAAACCTGTGCTTGCGTCTAAGAGGAGAGATGTGAGAGAACATGGTGAGAACCACAAGGCAGTGCCCCAGCGAGGCCGAGGTCTGGAGTTACCTTGGGCACCACAGGTGTCTCTGGTGTTGAGTGTAGGGCAAAGTCTCCGACTACATGTTTGTTTCTGTAGCATCATGTTGGTGATTGTGGCTTGTTCTAGATGTAGCGCTCCAGCACAACCTTCTAGAGTAGCTGAAGCTGGGATGCAGCCACGGCAGCGTGCACCATGATGCCTCCTGCTCCTTCCTCCCCATGGAAACTGGAGCAGCAGCCCTGTCCACAGCCACGTTCCTCATGGTGTTCCCTCTTTCACAGAGCACTTGCTGAATGGCCGGGTGGACTTTTCCTTCCCTGGCAGTGGCAGCGGCACACTGACCAGGACAACGAACACCAGCTACCACCACTTGCAGCAGGAGCACAGGGTGATGGGGAGCTCCTCACTGACAAGAGACTACTCTACGATGCTGATGGGGCATGGTGAGTACCATGGTGATGGGAGCTGTTCTTCCCCTCCACCCTCATGACTATCTTCGGACTTGTGCCCTGCAAGCCCTGTTGGGGTGAGGACTGTTCACAGCTGAGGGGGCCCATGCACAAGAGATCTGGAAGGTCATGTCCTCACTGTAGACATATAGGTGCTTTGCTAAGGCCACTGCTCCCAGAACCCAGGAAGGATTCTCCTCCTTCACATGAGAGTGCTGGGAAAGGGGTCTACATCCTTATCCTTACCCCATGAGGCACTCTGGGAAGAACATGTGTCTCTTCTTACTCTACATGGTTGTCTTTCAGTTCTATGTATGTGCATCAGCTGGTGCTGACAGAAGGCTGTTAAAGGGCTTTTCAGATCTGAGCCTGGAAGCCATCTCTGCAGGAGCCAGCACCTGGCTGATCCTGCTCTGAAGTCTCCAATGGTGTTTTTCTCTTTCTCTTGCACCGCTTCTGTAGATTACCCAGGGAGATTCCTCCCTCCCATCCGTGAAGATGCTGGGAGGACAATCCCACGGCATGTGGGTTTCAGGAGCAGGGCAAAGGTGAAGGGTTACTACCCCAGCACTGGCTTTCGGGACTCTATAATCATGACTGATGGGTCCGCAGGGATTTGCAAGTACATAGGTACAGCTTTGTCCAGTGTCTCCTCCCAGCCACGCATCCCATAACAGCCAAGCCACCGGCCATCCATGGGCTGTTGCCATCCACTGCTGGCTCCAAACCCTCTCTCCATGGCTTGCTGTGTGCCTCACTGATCTTCCTCCTGACCCGGCCTGTGCCTCCATCACACCACCTTTCCATTTGCAGGTGACTTCAGCTGTGTTTCAACCCATCTGGGCTGATTAACACTCACCACCACTGCCACCGTGCTCTAATGAGTTGATCAGCTCATTGTCTCTGTCCTCCTTGTTCCTAACAAGTTTGTTCTTCTTAGTCTTACCCCACAGGCCCTTGGAGAACTCCTGGGGAGAACGTGTGCTCCATATGAGATGTTGCTCTGCAAGCACCCTGGCCAAAGCCCATGTCAATGAGGGACTTCAGTCCCTGAGTGCCACCTGGGAGGCTGCTGAGCTTACCATCAACCTTGTGTCCCAGTGGGTTGAGTTGGGGGGAAGCCAGAGCACCTGGTCCTGGTTCCAGCTGCCCCCATCCCCTTGAGCAGCCCCTGGAGGTGTTGGGCTGCTTTAGTATAGGGTAGGGACAGCCCTAACTGAGCTATATCTGAAGATGTCTGTGAAGCTTCCGTCACACTGGACAGGGTGCTTCAGGATGAGCAAGGATAGCCATACACGTCACCCAGCCCCTGCTTTGGTCTCTCTACCACAGTAGCATGAGGTAGAAACTTGTTCCACCCAAGGTTGGCAGCCCAAGGCCATGGGATGTCACTGTAGGTGTGCAGAGCCTGTGAGTCCCCTCTCTTGATGGTGCCAACTTGCAGAGATGACATCTTGCCACGTTCTCACCAGACCATCGGGACCATCCCACGCTTGCCCATGCCACTCCCTCCTCTCCCCCAGCCCTCTTAGCCCCCAAACCCCAAATCTCCACCCTGATGTTCCCTTTTTGCCTCAGACTCTAGGCTGCCGCTGGGTGTGCCCGACACCCCGACGCGCCTGGTGTTCTCTGCCCTGGGACCCACCTCCCTGAAGGTGAGCTGGCAGGAGCCACACTGTGAGAAGGAGGTGCAGGGCTACAGCGTGCAGTACCAGCTCCTCAATGGAGGTCAGTGAACAGCAGCGGGGGGTGCGAGTTCTTGGTGCTGGAGAGTCTGCTCCGGTTCTTCTCCTGGGCAACTGACTCTGGGTGACCCCGCTTGAGCAAGGAGGGGTTGGACCAGGTGACCTCCAGAGGTCTCTTCCAGCCTTATCCACTCTGGGATTCAGGGACTGGTCCCAACTCTACTTTTTGTGTAGCCTTGAGGAAATGTCTCAGCTACCCTACAGCTCTCATTTCCCATTTATGCTGGGGGGACAATTCTTGAGGTTGCTTGTGGAGTCACTTCTCCAAAAACTCATTCTCCACCAGCCCAAACATCTTAGTTGAAGGCTTTTTAATCACATTGGATTTGAAGGAAGGATTGGAATGAAAATCTCTTATGTTTACGTGAAACTTGGGGCAGTGCCAGTGAAAATGTAATTCCCTTTGGCTGAAAATCCTTCAGTTTTCAAAAACCTGTTGTTTGTCCCAAGCTTTTTTTTGGAACAACATCTTGTCCTGCACTACCAGTTGTTAGTGGCAAGGTGTGATGGAGGTGGGTGGGATGGAGTCCGGATGACTTTTCCAGGCAGCTCATTTGAGACAGAGTTCAGGCAACAGCTATGGCTCGGTCCGTGTGGCAGCAATGCCACGCTGACATTGTCCTTCCCTGTGTGTCCCAGGAGAGGTGCACCGACTCACCATCCCCAACCCCAGCCAGAACTCGGTGGTGGTAGAGGACCTGCTGCCCAACCACTCCTACATCTTCAAGGTGAAGGCGCAGAGTGAGGAAGGCTGGGGCCCTGAGAGGGAAGGAGTCATCACCATAGAGTCCCAGGTGGACCCGCAGAGCCCTCTCAGTCCTGTGCCAGGTGAGGTGGATGGGGCACAGAAGGGTGGTGCTGATGTCTCTACTGGTGTCTACAGTGACATGGCCCTGCTGTTTTCCCTCCCCTTACCACACCCTGAGCTGTCCTTTCCTTCCTTTCATTCAGAATAGGACCTTCTTCCCCAGGCACTCACCTTCCACTAGCTGTCTAGATAAGCTGAGACCTTCCAGCTCATTTCATAACTGCTGTGTGCAGATCTCTCCCAGGCTGCTCCTCACCACCTTCTATGATACTCACCCCTCCTGCTCGTGCTCCTGCAGGTTCACCCTTCACACTGAGCACACCCAGTGCTCCTGGACCACTGGTTTTCACTGCCCTCAGCCCTGACTCCTTGCAGCTCAGCTGGGAGAGACCCCGCAAGCCCAATGGGTCCATCTTGGGCTACATGGTCACCTGTGAGATGCTTCATGGAGGAGGTACAGTATCAGGCTGTGGAAGCCTAGTTCCCTACATAGAACACAAGGTACCTCCAGCAAAGCCAAAAACTTGTTGCATTTTTGCTGGGACCAGAAACAAAGTTCTCATTGGTGCTTGCACTGGTGCAGACGAAGCGGGGACATGAGGCTGATTCTAGGCCAGGGAGCTGCTGGACCCTGATGCTTTGTGTCATTGCATGGTCTGGTATAAAAAATGTGGTGGGAAGAAGGAGCTATAGCTTATTACAGTCTAAACCCAGTGGAGGTCGTTTGTTGAGGATCACAGTTGTAATAAAATAGAATTTCTTAACCCTTAGTTGAACTGGGTGCAATCATACAGTCCATGGGTGGCATAAAGCTTAGGGAAAGCCAAGACAGAAGCCAGATTTGGGAGGGGGTGTTTGGAGAGACTGCCACTCCTGTCTGTCTTCACCGCTGGTATGTCTGTGTGGATTAGGGGAGCCCAGGAATATCTATGTCGAAGGAGACAATCCAGAAACTACACTCACTGTGCCCCAACTGAGCGAGAATGTCCCATACAAGTTCAAAGTGCAAGCCAAGACCACGCAAGGCTTTGGGCCAGAGAGAGAAGGCATCATCACCATCGAATCTCAGGATGGAGGTACAGTACCATGCCTTTGTGGAGGTACAAAGATAAGAAACCTCTCAGCACAGGGATCACAACTCCTGGAGTCCCATTCTAGCTCTTTTGGTAACTCCATTTTCCATGAAAGACATGGAGATATTGTCTTCCATGGAGACAATGCTGTGCCTCATGAGCACTGTCCCAGTCCTGATGCACTGAGTGAGGGAGGATTGCAAGAACCTGCCAGTGTTTAATAGATTATGAAAGTTCTGTCCTGCACCTGGTTGTACTTACCTGGAGGCAGCTTCTTAGACTGCACAGGTATAAGGCCTTCCCAGTCCTCCAAGTTCCTCTTAAACCTGGCTCTGATGTCAGCAAGAAAAACCTCCTGAGCTGACTGTTGGTGCTCACTGTGCAGAGTTGAGGTCTTGGAAGCTCTTTGTCATTTCCTGTCTGACTCATCCCTTTTCCTTCCTCCCAGGCACTTTCTCCCAGTTTGGAGGACAGCAGTACATGAGAGAGGAAGTGTACAACTTCCCCACTGAATACACCACCAAAACCAGCATCAGCCATTCCTCTCTGGATCCCCACTTCATAGGTAGGGGCTTGCTGTCTGCTTTGAAACCTTCAGAAAGCAAAGCATAAACCTGGTTGTCCAAAGGCCTGAGGGTGCTTTTAATTAAAGTCTCAATGGCAGGGAGGGAGGGTCCATCAGGAAGGACTGATGAAGAGGACCAAACCCTTCCTTACACCATGTCACTCCTCTGCCCCAGAGGCAGCTTCAGACATTTTCCCATGTGCTGCCCAGTAACAGAGGGAATGTTGAGTTTTCCAAGTCCCCCAGGACCATCAGGAGGGACCAAATCATAGATCTTCCTGCAAGGTTAAATCTCTTTAGAGCAGGAAGAAGTAAAGTGTGATGATCATCTTTAAGTGGAACAGTGTAGTTGCCCCATGCTTTCCCACCTGAGTTCATGGACTCCTGAGTTCACATTGCAACACAGAGTTTAGGAGCTGTTAGGTGATCCATCTTACTGACTGATGTAGCAAAGTACTGAATCACTTGATCTGGAGACGTCTTCCATCAGTGAAAGTAGTATTTAATAAGAAACCCCATCAGGTAGAGCAGATCCTACTCCCTGTGACCCTGTACTTAGCATGGTGTCCTGACTACGGAGCTCCTCGTTGCAGATGGCATGCTGATGACAACCCAGCGAGTGGAGAGCGCCAGCAGCACCCTCACCAAACAAGTCACCAAAGAGTTTGTGAGCCGGACCGTGATGTCCAGTGGGACTCTCACCAAACAGATGGAGAGGCAGTTCTACGAGGCCTGAGGCAGGACAGGCTACCCACCAGTGGGACATTTGTGTTCAGATGGCAGGACTTTGTGGAACTATCCAAGGGTGCTCCATCCAGATGCTGCTGTGGTGCCTGGGCAGCTCCTTCTGTGGGAAGAGACCCTCCATGGCACGTCAAGCTCTGGACCTCTCCTCTGGAGCCCAGCACACTCCAAGCTCTGGCACAGTTGGGTCATCAGGTGTGTGCTCATCCTTCAGGGCTTGTTCACCCTGTCCTGCTCTGCAGAGTCTCAGTTCTGTAAAGTCCATGGGGAAGTCTTCCATGAATGATCACCGCACGCTCCAATACCATTCTTCAAAGCCCATACGTCCAAATATAGCTGCCAAAATTTGGATGTCTCAATGGCTCCAGCCTCCCCAGATAAATGGAACAGAATGAGCTCTTCTCATGGCCTCAGTTTTGAGAGGATTCTAGCTGGCAACATCCTGATCTATAGAAGGTCACCATTTCCATCTTTGCTGCAGGCTCTCTGGTAACTTGTTTGTCCACTGGAGATGGTTATTTTGGGCTGTTTGGGTTTGTTTTGTTTTTATGTGAGCTGCAAGGTAGGGGGCTGGGGGTAATCTATGCTTTCTTACTGCACCTATTTGTGTCTATCCTTTGCTGCTAACATCTGGTACCACGACAGCAGAGTACAGCTTTTCATTTGTATAGCAGCACCCATGTAGCAGCACCCATGATGGCCTCTGATGCTTTTTTTTTTTTGCATACAATATTGTACAGTTTTCGTAGTATATATATCTCAATATATAAAAATGTATTTTATTATTTTATTTAAAAAATGGAGGTGGATGAGATCTATGCTGAATGTGGAGGCTACACTGGGACTGTGGCTGCTGAGAAACATTAATAACTGGAAGAAATTAGTTAAGGGCTTGATCCAAAGGCCACTAAACCCTGTGGAAAGCCTGTTGAGCTCTACCTTGGGCCTTGTATCCTCCAGCACTGGAGATTCCAGCAGCCAGACCCACTCACTGCACAGCACCCACCAGCTGAGAGCTCTCCAGCCCCAGCACATGGTGCAGAAGGGCTGGGAGCTGCCTGGAGGTGAGGGACAGGATGGCCTGGGAAGTAGTGCCTGGAGTTGGGAGCAGTGCCTGGGATTTTTTACATGGCTGACATGAAGAACATGACGTTTAGGGGCAGAAGATCTTTTAAAAGCCCTTTTGCCCAACAGCAACATCCATAAAGGGACCCGGGATCTCTCAGTAAGCACAAGGGAAGAGCATGCCTGGGACCAGCAGCTTCTCACCACCCAGAGCAAGTCCCTGAGCCTCCTTCAGCCCTTGGCTTCAGCTGTGCTCACAGAGTGCGGGGTGCAGGGCTGAGCTGAGACCTTGCTGGGCCTCCTTCCCTGGCTCTGGGCACGATGCCTGGCATTTGCTGCCCTCTGCCAAGGAGAACAATTGGGCTCCATGCCTTGTTGAACCCTGTGTTTCCCCAGCGTGCTTCAGCTGGACGGGAGCAGGCGAGGAGCTGCCAACAGTGAGGATCCAGCTTGACGCAGCAGCTGCCACCACTCTGGATTAGAGCTTCCAACCAAAACAGCAGCTGCCTGGTCTCCCTGGCAGCATCACCAGCCTGATTGGATCTGATGCTGGACCTTGGCTTTTTGGTTTGGGTTTTTTGGGTTTTTTTGACTCTGAAGACTTTCCAGCACTGACACCAAGAGCTCCCTCTCCTCTCCGGGCTCTTCCAGTGGGAAGGCTTGTACATGTTTGAGCCAAAGCTGCATGTGGGAGAGTAAAGTCCACAGGAGTCTCCAGGACTGCAGCTGGAGCTAGGTTAGTTTTGAATGTCAGTCAAGAGATGATAACTCACCAACCCTGTGGTTTTACTGTGCCTTCTAGAAGCACTTATTTATCCTGAGTAAGTACCAGTGGCATTAGCCTGCCTGCCTCCCACTCCCCATCTCATCTTTGTGGTTGGGGTTTCCTCTCCAGCTGATATGCCTCTCCCTGCGCAAGGACTCCATGACCCTTTCCCTGTGCTTTGTGATCCAGGATAAAACTACCTAAAAAGGGAGCCCACTTCCAAGCATTTTAACCAAAGATTGTCCTCTACCCAAGAGCCCAGCCCGCCAGCTGCTGCCCTCTGGGGCATCGTGCCATCCCCCCATGCCAGGCGGCTGCGTGGCGAACGGATGCCTCGCACCACAACAGTGTCACCTTCAAACCTTCATCTGTCCTCAGGGCTGGTGGTGTTTCAATCTTTCCAAGGTGGATTCAGCAGCCTGCTTTGACAGCAAGTCTTTGATCAGATGACTTCCTATTGCACTCAATAAATGTTTTCTCTACAGCTTGCCTCTTCCCTTTTCTTAAAAAAAACCCCAACATTCTCTTTTAAAAAATCATTCTCCCCCTGTAATCTCCATCTGCAGCAAGAGGTGAAGGATATGTCCCAGAAGCAGATACACAAGCAGGAGCTCCTGCCAAGCATCAGGACCTGCTGCTCCTCCACTGCCACCTCCTGTGGCTGCAGCTCGAGGCACTACTGTACCCCGCAGCCCAGGTAATGGTCATCACACCAGTGCCAACTGGAGTTAAACCAGTCTCCTCTGAGGAAAGGTCCCCGGTGGCTTTGGCTCAGAGCTCCGCTCAGGCAGGCGCAGAAGGACTGTGCAAATGTTTTGCATTTATTAGGCAAATGCTGCAGCCAGACAACTGGCGTCCTGAGCGCAGCCCAGGCGAGGCAGTCGCTCCTCTACAGGGGCAGCACCTTTGCCCCCCCCGAGGGCTGGGTGAGGATGAAGGTGGCCGTGCCGCTGTACTTCTCCTAGGAGGTGAAAAGAGCAGTAAGTGCCCGTGCTCTGGGGCCAAACCACGCCGCAGCAAGAGGCCAGGCTGGGGGATACTGGAGCCAGGGGAGAAAGGCTGTGCCAGCCTGCCCAGCCCTGTCTGATCCAGCCACCGCTCCACCAGCGGCTGTGTGAGATGCTACCTGGGGACAGCATGCTGTCCTGGTCACTGCCTGGGGTCCCTTGGTCCCCCCACAGCACAGGGCAGGGAGGTTATTGACACACACCTAAGATGACCCTTCAGCAGCCCCTCATGGACTGTTCTTGACTTTTTCCAACCCCTTTTGACTGTCCTGACGCTGCTGAACTCCACAGCCTCTGGTGACAGCAGAAAACTGCAGTGTGTCCTCAGCTCCAGTATTCCCCTAACTCATTCAGTGGTTGCTGGTTCTTATTTTTCCACACTCACCCTATCTACCCCCTTTGCTATTCTGTAACTCCTGCTCATGTTCCCCCTCTCCCAGCTTCTCACCAGATGGCAGAGGCTTCTCCCTTTCAGTCTCTCCTCATTTCAGGCACCTTCCTCTGCCCCTTCTTTATCCTCCCAGCTATTTACAGGGCACACCATGATCTCACATGGCAGCAAAAGGAGGCTCTGGCTCATTCACTGCCCTCATTTCCTGACACCCCCATGTTGCTGGTGTTTTCAGCTACCAGTGCACACTGAGCTGCTGATTTAGAGAACACTGATGACAGCACTGAGATCTTTCCTGGGCTGTAACTGCTGGCATTAAACTCAGCTTTGCCTAAGCTTGGCTTGGATTCCTTTTCTTTAGCTAGATTTAGTCTTCCTGAAGCTCACCCGCCACATCTTCACTCACTTTCTCAATGTAACAAGCTCCTTGGGCAATGCTCTGCAATCAGCACAGTGCTGAACTACCTTCAAGTGCTTAGTAGTACCAACAGCCCTGGTGCAGCACCAGATGGGCTGCACCAACCCCAAGTGCCTCAGGAGCGCAGCTTCAGCCGTGTCCCCAGACCCTACCTCTGAGTGGTTCTTCAGATCAATCTCCTGGCATTTTCCACTGCCTACCTGGATGTGGTGCTGGGCTCTCTCTGCAGCCCTGGCCTCCAGCAGCGTCACCGTGCAGCCTCCGAAGCCTCCTCCGGTCATCCTGCTGCCGTAAACCCCCTCGACCTCCAGGGCTGCTGCTACCAGCTCATCCAGCTCCGGGCAGCTCACTTCATAGTCATCCCTGGAGAGAAGAGACCTGTGGTCATCCCTGCCCTGCACCCCAGCCATAGTCCCTGCACCACCAACAGCTGAAACGGGCATCTTGGTGCATCCATTGGTGCAAACTGCAGCAAAGGAGGATGCTGCAGCTCCAGGTCCAGTACTCTGCCTGTAAGCACACGGATCCATGAGCAAAGCTGTGAACATCAGAGGCCCACCAGGAACGGCTCTAAGCAGCGTGTCTAACATACATGACCATGACCAGCTGCCTCATCTCAGCACCTCCCAGCACAGAAGTTTGTGGGGCTCCATTTCTGTGGGGCTGAACTATGAGGGACACCAGAGAGGACACAGGTCTGGCTGCCCCCCATGCTGCACCCACGGGCAAGGGAACCCCATGAGGACTGGACACCAGTGCCACAGACACAGCCTGGCCTGCCCCAGGTCTGGCCCATCCTCACCTGAGGGAGTTGTGACTCTCCACCATCAGCCTCCCGAACATCCTGTAGTCCCTGTCCCGCAGTGCCTGCGCTGCCTGGGCCGTCCG